TATAATTTTTTTCTTCTGTGAAGGCGGGGGGAGGGCAAAATCCAATTTTTTTTTTCTAGAGTAAGTGTAAAACCCACTTTTTTCCGTCCAGAGAGGTCAAGTGCCCCCTTGCCCCCCCTTGGCTACGCCCATGGATAAGAATGAAATATTGAAATTATCAATATTAAAGAGAAATACAAATATTTAAGCGTCAAATAATCAAATAAAGAAATTGTATTCAATAATTAAGCTTAAAATATTTCAATATTATTATATTAAAATATTATCGTATTTTCACAACATATGTTGTTAATATATCAACTCTCAATTCTTGGTACACAAAGGTCTGCTCCAAAGTGAGCGCAAAATTTTTTTAATAATTTTCCATTCTTTCATATAGTTCAGAATTTATCACGTGAATTATATAATTGAAAATTTAAATAATTAAATACAGAATAAAGCCTGAAATTCGTCACCGAAAGAAAAGAGTAACTTATGTATTTCACTAAAAAGATCTATATACATCAAATTAAAAATTATAAATGAAACAAGATAAAATGAAATTTCAGTTTAATATTAAATCTTACATATAATTTAGTATTTAATATCACGTTTTACTTTTTATTTTAGAAAGCTGTTCATAAAAGAATATTATATTCTATTCTTAATTATGGAAATTACTTTTCAGACCTTTGCAACAAATAAAGGGTTTCGCAAACAACTGGTTCACGTGTGTTGCATTACACGATTTTTCTTCGTGGACACAAAAAAAATGGGAACACGATACTGACAATAATCCATGATCTAGTTTCACGGGAGCGCAACGACTGTAGTTTCGCGAAGTTCGAAAAAAAAGTCTCGAAAGTCGGCCAAGAATCGGCCAATTAGAGCAACGGAATTCGTTACAGTTAATTTTTTAATTTTTACAAAAAATTACCTAATTCGAACACTGTAATGTACATTATAAACTCCGATTTATCGATTCACCTACGATATTTGATCGTTTAATTCAGTAAAAGCATCGTAAATTTGGTACCATCGAAGAAATATTAACAAAATGTCGAATATAATAATTTATTAATGAAATGATTTAACGAATAAAAAGAAACAATTAAAGAACTGACTAGTACTTAATTACAACATTTCTAGTTCTTCTTACTTACAACATTTTCTAGTGTTTTACTTATATAGGGTGTTTTGTGTAACTCGACTTTTAACTTGTAAAAGTGTGTAAGTAATTATTACATAGGTATTTGTTAACTTAAAATTAATGTAAAGTCACGAATGTTACATAAGTTAGTACAGAATTTATTTGTGCATTTTTCAATGTAATAACTTATTGAAAATCCAGATTTCGGTTTGAATTATACTGAAAGGTCGATTCGCTTCATTCGAGGTAAACGACACATCCTGTATATTTTGCAACAATTTTTGCATTTGAACAGTTAGGTATTTACACATAATCTATATTTTTCAATCAACTTTTAAAACGTCAGAAATAATTACAATAATGTTTTAATGTACAAGTATTTCCTTTTACAAAACGGAGTAATTAATTTTTTTAATTTACGTTCAAATTACATCTGCGAAATAAGGAGAATCGAACGACTACGTTTTATTGTTAATATAAGTTTCCTTGAACATCAAATATTATAGTAATTTAAACAAAAAATTTAAATTACACCAGAATAAAATAAACAAAATCATTCGAAACTTACGTAATTATTAGTTCCTCCGTTGGATAATGTGACTCCATTTTGGCAACTCATTGCTTTTGATGAATAGATTTCTTTCTTTCCTCTTTTTCTACTGTTATTGTGTTATTAAATTAAAAAACGGTAAATTAATATTCCAGTTGGATAAACAATAATGACCTCCGCGGAAATACTGCATAGCTGGTGACACGTGTTCTTTCATATATCGCCCGGGAAGGGTTAAGATGGCGTCCATTTCCATCAGGAGGGGAGAAATTACACACTTTCTCCCTCTCTCTCCCTCTTCTTGTTGCTGGATGCGACCCTGAACACCGGAAAAACGTGCACCAGCGAAAAACTCGAGGACAAATAATAGTGAAATTTCCCGTTTTGCACGGTAAAGTCGGCGAACTATTAAATTATTTACAAAATGTCCGGAAATAACTACAAATTCTTAACTTTTTTTTTTAGTTGTAATATACATTGTGTATGGTAATGTGTAATCCGCCATTATTGATAAATTTGGTATTTCAATGTGGCGTCATTTTAACGTTTAATTTGTATTTTTAATGTAAACGATATTGTTTTCTTAAGTAAAAAATAGTAAATTACTAATTGGTACACGTAATAAGAATAGATTGATTTTAAATATCTTCAATTCATTGAGTGACATTTTGCAATAAGTATTATTCAAATGAAATGTAATATTTATCTTGATGACCTTTGAAGAGGATCTAAATGTACAACTTTTAGTATAAGTAATATGGTTATTTAGGTGTTAATTGTAGAAATGTTAAAATTCTCGAGAAACATAATGTATTCACGTGAATGAAGCATTCCTTGTTCAGGAAAAGAAGTTGCAGTCGACGCTCACGTTACGAAACACACTTCCTATCAATTAAATTAATCGTGCAACAGTTAATTGTTGATAATCGCAAAGGTCCTGCTAAGCAAAAGTAATTACAAGTTCATTTGCGAAGACGACAACAATTGCTGCATATTTTCACAATTGTTACTTTGTTGCATTTTTTTACAAATAATTACAATAATTTTAATTCCACGTAACTTATAGCACTAATAGTAATTAATATTACATTTATTTATTTCCATGAAATATTCTTCTTGGTTTGATTATTCGGAATAAATTTTCAAATATTTGTATAAGTATAATATCGTAATAAAAAGTGATAATAAATAAATGAAAATATGAAGAATGTTAAACAACATTTTTCTGTGGTATGAGGGACAATATTGCTGAAGATTATTATAAGTATTGATTCTTTACGTGTCAATTCTACACCTGGAATATATAATTCATTATAGTTTTATGTCATTTTTATTTACAGAAAGAATTATAAACTAATGAAGGGTAAAAAGAGTGTTTCTGGCTACATATCATCAGGGGTAACTTGCGTTTCAAATCTGTCAAGATGGCGACACTAGGCCATAAAACAGGGCGGGAAAAAAATTCAAATTCTTTCACACAAATTAATTAATTCCTCAATTCTTTCTAGAAATAAATGTTCCGTAAATTTAGCTCATCTTTATCTGTACATTTCAATGTATTTCAATCCACCTGTATATATTAACAATTTTTTTATTTTTGGAAAGAAAATGTTACGGAACGATGTAACAAAGAAAAAAAATATAGTATAGGATTTAATCATAAGTAACTTCCACCATAAATATTGGAGGATTGTTAAGTAATGAATTATTTTAATTTCGTTATTATTTTAACGCAGTTTAATTTAAAGTATTGAAATATTTTAATTTCGTTATTCAAACATAGTGCCTGCCTTCAGGCAGCAGCACTTCAAGTTACTTGAGGTCAGTTTTTGTTGCGAGGTTGAGGCTAGTGTCTGTGAAAGGTGAAGAAAGGATTTTATCAATTGAAAGAGCACAAGTTCTGGTTAGTGTTGTATAAATATATTTAAATAAACGATGTCGACGAAGTCTTCCGTCGATTTACGAGCGGAACTTGCTGAATTAGTGAAACGAAAAGCGGAAATAGCTGTGAGTACTGCCACAATCTGTCAAACTGCGTTTCTTTTTTTTATTGTTACATTCTTAAGTAAACTGTGCTTAAAACAATAGATATTATCGTAACCGTTATGGGAATTAACAGTTATTTTCAAGTGTTAACTATATTACAAGAGAATTGGACATTGATAATATTCTTTCTGTAGTTTTAGAAGCTTTTAGGTTATCGTAACATAACCTCTTCACAATGTTTTTCCTGTTAGTCTCTTCCTCGTATTGACCTCAATTTGCCGAATTGTGGGATATTTTAACGGTAAAAATGAAATATTTCCGAGGCTGATACAGGGAATGCGTTAAAACGTATCAACTAATACTTGAGATTGTTTTATAACCTTTGTGTTTTGTTTTGGTTTTACTTACAGTATAAAAAAGCTTCTGTATGTTTATCTACATCATTAAAATCGATAAAAGGTTATTTATTAATGGCATTTAAATGTAAACGAGCTCCCATCATATAGACACAAATTTAAAAAAATAAAGTTAATTAATCTTTAGTATATGAACAATTTCTTCGGTGAAATATTAAGAGTAATAATAATTTGGCAATATATAATTATGGAACTATGTTTTAATAAAGGGAAAATATTTTGTGCTTGCTGTTATGTGAATACATAATATGTTGTTACTTTATAGGATACTCTTGCCAATTTAGAACGTCAAATCTATGCATTCGAGGGTAGTTACTTGGAGGACACACAACTGTACGGCAATATAATACGTGGGTGGGACAGATATTTAGCTAGCAATAAAAATACTAATAGTAAGGCAGATAAGCGTAACAGGAAGTTCAAAGAAGCTGAAAGGCTCTTCTCGAAATCCTCTATCACCTCCATGGCTGTGAGTACTTGGTTTTCTATTTTATGACTTTTTATCGAGAAATTAGCAACCCTTCATTTGTGACACTGCTTAGCAGATCGAACAAAATAATTATTTGCATAAAATTAAACATTCATGGATCTACAAATATGTTAATGCAATTATTTGAAAGTATTTCCCGTTTAAATGATATTCTTATTTACGATTTTTATAAAATAAACTTTACAGATATAATTAGTATTTTGATTAAAATATGAAAATATAAAACCATAAGACATAAACATTAAATGAGAATGCATGTCCTCGTATGTTGCGTGCTTCCGAAAGGGCAAAAATATAGTGTATCAACAAAATGTATAGTAATACATTTTAAGTGGAAAATACCCAGGAAAAAAGTAAGGACCTCAATGGATATTCCTGAGATACTTAATTCTTTACAGTGAAAAAAAGAGTATGACTTTATTTTTCATCCTACCATCCCTTCCAGCTTTTCTTTTTATCCTATCCTCGAGAGTAAATCTTTTTAGTTGTTAAGTTATCCTCGAGTGTACTTTTTTTTCTTTTTAATGTATCAATCATACTGTCTTCCATAAAAAAAACACACACAAAGAAAACAGTAATAAAAGTGGACTGTTATGCATCATAGATGAAGTAATGATTAAAGATTCAAAGGATATTTAGTACTTTCCTTTGACTTTGATTATTTTACTTTTATTTTCTTCTGTATTTAAGTTATTAATAAATTTTTATTTATTCCCTATCCATTTTTATAATTCATAGATTTCATTTGCATCTTTTCTAGTAACTTTAGTGTAGAAACTTTGTGAATTGATTTTCTCTCTCTGTTCTTCATCTGCATTTATCTTTTTCTGTATCTCAATTATGAATAAATTTAAAATTCAGTTCTTTCATCTGTTTCAAAGTTTTATCGTATATTTTTTCCTTGATTCATTCTCTGTTTGCTGTATTGCTTTGGTGCACATGTATGTTAGTAGAGAACTTGCAGTTTGCTTCTTCTTTATATAGTACATATGTATTGAAAATGTAGAAAAAATTAGTTGAGGAATGTTACTTTATTCTTTATATTTGTTTTATGCTTTAAATAAATTTATATGTTCCATATCAGTGTGAGCAGAATGAAAATCTTTCTTTTGTACAGTACTTCCAAGCAATTATTATTGCATTGTACATTTAGTATAAGAAATTACTACTAGATTAACTACATGACTATTCTATTTATTGAAGTATGTTGACGTTATTACGTGATTTTTATCTAAAAATCATTTTCCCAAATTTTTTATTTTATTCGAATTTAAGTTCATTGTCATTATTTTAATTAATTAATATTTACATATTACTTTTTAATATAATATTGAGGGCTTTTTCATTCATTAATTTCTCTTGCACAGGTTAAATGAACATTGTTATTTTTCCACCAAAAATATATAACATCTATTAACCCCTTAAGCGGGGAACGAATTTCCGTGAACCATTCGCTAGGTATGGAGTGATATTTTACGATACAGTGCAATATATTGCCGCAGTAAATAAATTTACTCTACCCTATTGAGAGGTTAATAAATAGTCAAATATCACCAGAATTATGGTAACCAGTGAATTTTTAGTAAAAAATGCAACTTCATTAGATAGATATAAATTTTCATGACTAAGATAATGTTGTTACTGTTGTGGCTATTATGTATAAACCGTGTCTTTTTGGAAGAATGAAAAAATCATTTAATCTTAACGTTTCACAAATATTGCAGATAGCTTCATCGGAGGATCAAGTAACACATTGACACCGGTGTGTGTGTGTGTTGTGAAGTGGTTCATTATTGTACCTTGTTCATGTTTTGGTACAATAGAATATTGAACCCTATCTAGAGTAAATCATTAATGAGTATTCCAAAGTTCCTCGGCACTAAGTCTTTAGATGTCATCCCCACCACTGGGTGGGTGAGGTCTCCCATGGAACCAGTTCAGCGTTCGTGATTTACTGTATTGTACTAACTGGTTCAATAGTATTGTGCTGACTGATTCAATAGCGTTTGGAATACTGTTTATTGTACTAATTGATTCAATAGTGTTTTGAACACTATCAATTGCAGCAACCACTTTAATAATCTTTGAAACACTGTCTATTGTACTAACCAGTTCAATAATCCATTGAACTAACCGGACCATGAGCAAGGTACCCTATAACAGCAAACCAGCTCACAACGCACACAAACATCAGTACATGTATCTAATTCACTTGACGAAGTTGGCTGCAATGCTCACAGACCCTGTGCCCATTTTTCCAAAAGGACATGGATCACAATTTAAAAAAAAAAACCGTCAACAGCCACTACTATAGTTCCAGCTCACGAAAGCCTCGAGCCTTTAAACGTAATCTCGCCTATGGACTCTGGTCTCTCCCCGATGTCTAGCCTCGAGTCCCACGAGGATCCCGATTCTCCCATGTTAAACCTGTTTCCAGTTGACCGGTACAGCGAATCGGAGTCCCAGATCGGTAACAGCGGTAGCGAGGACAATTGCAGCCTGGTGAACTCGCACGGGGGCGGGACCACCGGCGGCACGGCGACCAGCAACGGGAACAAGGAGTCCTCGGGGAAGAACCACTCGTTGACCGGCCAGTACAACCAGAACGGATCGTTGTCGTCGTCCAGTGATTTGCCCGGCCAGTTCGCGAACGGTCACGCGAGCAACGGCAGCCTCGAGCACGCCTCCGTCAAGGAGAACACCGGCAAAGAGACGGCGAAGAGCAAATCGACGCCGAGCAACAGCGCGAAAAAGAACAGCAATAAACGTTCGAGGAATAGGTAGAAGCCCCACGGCTTGGAAACTGTAACGATATCGATTTAAGTTCTCGGAGCAGTTGTGAAGAACGTTTATTCTGAATAACTGTTATCAGGAACCGAAATTGCAGACTACAGTGAATCCTCGATAAGTGCTCAAAGGTTCCTTCGCAGTGACAAGAAGAGATTCTTAGGTATAACGCTGAATCGTTAATCTCTATAGGGACAAATTGTTAAGACTCTTTCAATTTCATCTATTTGAAATATATTTGTGAATATTAATGATATTCGGTTGGTAGGTTGTCTTTGCTTTCTGTTATGGAATTTCTGAGTAAGTGTTCATTCGCAGTAATATTCATTGTATCTTTGGAATCATGCTTGGATGAAAGAAAAATTAAATTCCTTACACAGGTTAATGAGGTTAAGTACCCTAATAACCAGTTGTGTGCAAGTTTTGAGTTCAAATTTGTCTAAAAAACTATAGCCATCTGTTGGATTTTGCAGGCAAAGCCTGCTAACAAAATGGTCAATCAAATTGGCATTGCAATTGCAACACAATCCAGGCTAACTAACCTAAATAGGTGAATTTATAACCTAGGATATATTGCAAGATTTGCTGCCAATCTCCGTGTAAGTTGTAGATAGCAAATTTTGCATCAAACTTGTAGCTATGTTGAGTACATAATATTATACCAGGCATTGGACAAAATTTGGCTGACTGGACATAGTGATAGAGTTTGGAATTCTGAAGCCAATAATATTCGTTTCAGCCGCATATGGTCATTAGTTTACGAAATATTTAATGTTCAGTGCCGAGGAGCTTGCAAACACTCATCGAGGATTCACTGTATATCAGTTTCTGTTACGACTCCCATATCAGTTCTATATCCGTTATTTTTTAGGTTCTATATAAGTTCCAAAATGGTTATACAACCGATTCTAGTAATGATTGTACAGAATTCTACAGTAAATGAACATCACAACGTATTTACAGCTATAGATTACTATGTATAAACACAATGTTTTTTTAATTATTATGAATAAGTAAGTAAATTTATATGTACATATTTTCACACATACAGTTATTGTATAATATGAAAAGTGTTCGTTAATATAAATTTTTAACTGCTTAACAAACTTTTACCGTACTGACTAAGCAAAAAATATGCCTATATATGTATATAATAATCTATAAGCGTAATATGTTGTGATTTCATTTACTGTGAAGTTCTGTATAATCATCATGAGAATCGGTTCTGTAACCGTTTTGGAACTTGTATAGAACCAATGAGCTCTGATTAGAACTCAACGGTTAACGGTTATAGAACTGTTATGGGAGCTGATATAGGAACCTTAACTGAGACTGATAAAGTCTGAAATTTAGGTTTTCCATAACTGTTGTTAAGAATAATTTCTTCATAACTGTTTTAGTCGGAACCTTTATATAACAGTTTGAAACAGTTATTTTCGGAACCGTTTCAAGCCCTCAGGTGGCGCCATCTTCTTCCAGCGGTCGCGCTAGGGACGACACAGGGTCGGCGACCGTTGTCCTCGACTTTCGTTTTGCTCACGCGATCTTGCCGATGATGTACCGAAATCTCACTCTATTTTATAATAAATGCACCCCCACGCCGCTGCACAGCGGGCCAGAATCAAAATGTAACAGCTCATACGCTTATTTAGCTCAAGCAATCAAAATTTTTTAAATTTATAATTTCATTTCAGTGGATAAATGAACGAATTTGTATCAATTTTAAGGATCCTCTTCGATGACATCATCGGTCACTAACAGTGTCTCAACATCATCGAAAGTATACATTTTTAGGGAACTTTTTTTTCTGTTTTGGCTGAGATCCATGATATGAGAGGGTCTGAGGTGAATAACAAAGTATGAAATAAATCTATCCTTTTTTTGGAAAATGAAAGAGATTTATTTTTTACTTTTCCAGCTGTTAAATTTTGATTCTGGGCCATTGTGTGCCGTCGTGAATGTTGGAAACTTTGTATAGGAGAGCGACGACCGATTCGATGGCTTTCTCGAGTAGCTGTAAGAAAGTTAGGTTAGGTCTACCGTGAGTTTAGGGTATCTGAGGTTACGGACGACCTCTTTTTCGATCTTCAGATCGTGTAGAACTTGGATTGTTCGTTGGGATATCGGTCCAAGAGATAGAAATATACGTAATGTAAAAGTATTATACAGGGTGTTTTGTATTTTTGTACGAAATCGTTGTGGACAGTGTCCGCCGACTCGGTGCCGTCTTTGAATGTGCTGGAATTTCGGAGATAAACGTGAACTTTTCGGCCTACTGTTTTACTTGTGGACTTTGTAGGTGATGTTGTAGAAACGGGGATCCAGATTTAGTAATTTGATCGTTATTTTTTTGAGTTTCTTTTTTTAAATGTTAATAGCCAACAGTATGACTTGCGTAATGGGAATTATGTGTTGGAGGATTGTGGGAAATTCGTAACAGAATCATCGAAACACGTTTTCCCAATGGACAATCAAAGTTCTACTGTAGTTACAGTAAATCATCGATAAGTGTTTGAAGGCTGCCTGGCAGTGAGTGTTCAGACGTCATCTACACTACTGGGGGGTTTGCCTACGGAATGATTCAAGCGCCCAGTGTCTGAACTAGAGCTGGGTTAGGTTTCTATTAGGTTTTAGAATTCGAATATTTGAATAGTAGTCAAATTTGAATTTCATATTTGAATCATTTGAATGTGGAAATATTCAAAGTATTCGAATTTTTTGGAAGAAAGCGGAATTTTTTATTGTACTGATTATGGATTCTGAACATATATTTTTTCACGCGTTATCGTGAAATTTTATACACATTGGCATTTACAATTATTTGTTTTTCAAACGTTAAATCTGAATCTTTGTTGGTAACATTCTGTTATTCGAAAGAAGCATTCGAATGCTTCGTACTATTCAAAGTATTTGAATACATCGTACTATTCGAATTATTCAAAGTATTTTAATACCTCGTGCAATTCGAATTATTCAAACTATTTGAATATTTCGCACTATTCGAATCATTTGAATGAATTATTCGTATTCGATTAGATCGAATATCCGAATACTTACAGTTCTGGTCGGAACACTCATTCCAAGGCCGATGAGCCTTGGAACACTCATCGATGATTTACTGTATTTTTCTCGTTTCAACTATGAAATGGAACGGTACGTTACGTGGTTACGGTGATCATGTGGCCACCGAGTTTGAAATGGCATTTCGATCCGCGAACAATGGAAATCAAATTGAGGTATAGAAATCGTTTGGTTTTATAGTCAAATCAGCAGTATTTGTTAGGTTTAAGATTGAAACGTGGTAGCAGTCCCGACGGTGTTGTGTTTTTTTTTTCGATGTTCTTTGTAATTTTCATCATTTATTAATTATTATCGATCATTTATTATCGATAAATAAACAGAGAATTAGAGTTAGCCATGTTGTGTGATCGGTACCGTTGAGTATTAATACAAAAAAGATGCTAACTTCGGTTTTCTGCACTTCGAACAAATTTTCTATATTTCATTTTCTTGTCACGGTGTACGTACAAATAAAGCATCAGAATTGTAGTACGTAATCGATGAAGGTGAAAATTTGATTGCACAAACACGTAAAATTAGGATTTTTAGCAATTCTTTCTAATAACTTGAATGACTTAATTTTAGAAGTGTTTTAGAATCGTTTTTAAGTCGGTTTCTCGTTTTAAACAATCATTCTTTCTTCGAAACTTTACATAGTCATATGTAAGACTTTTTTTAAACGACTATTTAAATTGTAAAATTGAAATTAAAACAAACAAACAAAGTACGAAATCTTGAGGAAATATTTTTTTGTAACCACAGCGTATTTAAGCGAAGCAATGTTAATAAAGAATTCGGAAGTAATCGAAACGATTCGTGTGATTGTTGATAAATTTTTAGTGAAAAATTGATTCTTTTTTTCTTTATTTTTATCATTCTAGTTACGGTACATTTTCTATAAATCCAATGTTTCGCCGAGAAAGGTAAACATACAGTATTATTTCTACTCTTTTGGAATCAAATTTTGGAAAATAAAAAAGATCATCAGCTGGACGAGTGATAATTTATTTTATTATATTGATTACAATATAATGATACTGTAAAAAAAATAATACAAGTTTCTGAAATCTTTAGGAGAACCAGATACAGAATGGCGGGAAAGTGTGAAACAAAATGGCGGTCTCGATGATCGAGGGACAAAGTGATTTGATTACAAACGTCCTGAAAATAACTATAATCGTTCGAAAGTTGTATAAATATGAAATTTAAGTGACAAAAAAATCTGTATCACCTGAAATAATTAGAAAATCACGTTACCAAAAACGAGAAGTAAATTGTATATCGAATATGATTTATTTACTAACAATTTCCAGTGTGTCGTAATTTTTTTAACCAGCTAGTTTTATTTCTATTATTATTTAATTGTTTCAAAATTGTCCATGAAAATAAATTTGATATTCAAAGTTTTTTTTAAACGGGTCAAAACTTTTGCAGCGATGAAACATTAATGGGGACGGGAAAGTATCGAGGCAGGTAGAAACGCCTTCAAATTAGCCTCTTGTTTCGGATTCTTCAGTGGTTCGTTTCTCGTGACGACAGCGTTGAATCCATTGTGATTATCCGCCGTGTAAGTAACCGTTCTGATTGATCCGTCTGCTTCAACCACCGAATATTCACCCTTCACCGTGTCACCGTCCCTTTCCTCCCATGCCGACTTCGAATCGCCTGTGTATCCGTCCAGGACGCCGTAATTGAATGAATACCTTGGGTAAGCCTGTACAAAAATGTGTTTGATTATATTCATTTGAAGTAGATGAAAAATCGGAACAATTGTTTCGAACATGAATGTAATATAGGGATTTATTTGAAATACAAGCAACCCATATGTAACACGGTTAGAGAATTGGGGAAACCCCCGAGTAACACGGTACTCTTACAACACAGTTACAGAATCAAAAAAATCTTCGAATAATATTGTTAGAAAATTGGGGGAAACCCCCGAATAACATAGAGAATTGGGGAATCCTCGAGTATTAGAATTAGGGAACCCCCCCGAATAAAATAGAGAATGGGGGAAATCCCTAAATACCAGAGTTAGAGAATTAGAGAAACCCTCGAAATAACACGGTATTCTTACAGCTAGTGATGGGCACCATCGACCAAAAACTATCGACTAAATCGATAGTAACCAACGACTATTTTCAGTTGACTAATTTTTTCATTCGTCGACTACTTTCAGGCGAGTAATATTAACCGCTTGAAGCGACTACTTCGGTCGACTTAATTTAGTCGCTCGAAGCGACTCGCTCGAACTATCGGGCTATTGATCGCTATTGACTGGATCTTGATTATTTTCTTCGTGATGCAAACCAATTCCAACTTTTTCATATATTTTTTTATGCATTCCCAAGAACTGTGAAAATTATTGCTTATAACCCAATTGATTTTCATAAAAAATTTAATGCAGTTAATTTTTTAAGTGCCAATATTAAATAGCTTACAAAAAATCGAATATTAGTAATTGTTTAAAAAAACTTGTTTACCACTTACATTTTTGAAATTCTATCTAGGAACTAATACATTTCTAAAAGGTAAATACACCAATGATGTATATACATAACCTATAAAGCAAAATTTCAGTCGACTAAAAACTATCGACTAAATAGTCGATGGTATGTTGCGACTAAATAATCATTAGTCGATAGTTTAATTTAGTCGATGGTGCCCATCACTACTTACAGCACGGTTAGAGAATTGGAGGTTTGTTCTCTTTTCAACAATTTCCACGAAATTTTGAGGACTTCGGGGACACCCTGTATAGCATAAGGTACCGTGTATTCGGCATCTTTTTCGTTCTTCGTGTCGGTCGCGACAACCGCGGACGCCGTTTTAAAAATCGGTGGAGCGATGTATACCAAAGATGATGTTCTTGGCAGTGGTCTGTACGAAATCGGAGTAGCAACCTTCACGTAAGTCGGAAGGTCGACTTTACTTCCGGGGGATTGGAGCGCGCAAGCAACCGGAACCACCGCGCCGTCGACGGAGATCGCATCGATTGGCGCGCAAGGAAATCTGGTATAAATGATAAGGTATTTATTAATAATAATTTATTTATTAATCTGTTGACTGCATCTTTTTGGTATCTCGTTCAGAAACATTTTTTCATAAAATGAACGACCAATAGTCATTTCAAGACTATTTGAAACATTTTTTAAAATATTTTTTTTATAAATAATGTGTTTGCTTTCAATAAATAACAAACTCGTAGTCACACTAGCACCGTATTTATAAAGTTTGGAGAAGGTTCATACTGCCGATCATCAAGAAATTTTCCAAATATTGTCACTAAAGTGATTAAGTAGACTTTCACTGTACTGGACAAATGCAGTTAGCGAGTTAACAATATTTTATTTGTTACTGTTTTATTTATTAATAATATTGTATCTGATACTAATTTATTTATTAGTAATATAGTATTTGTTAATATTTTTTTACTATTACTATTTTATGTGTTACTAATGTAATTATTAATAATATTGTATTTGTTAATATTTTATTTATTAGAAGAAAATGGCCAAATATGGCATAGTATACTTAATGTATGAAGTAGTGCCATTTTTGAAAATCTGACAAATGAATATCTGTTAAAACGGCTACAGACTGTCTCACTCACTTTGAACCTGCACATGTGTTGTGTTCTGACTCCTCAGTCAAGCGAACATTAGTGACATAGCAGGACCGTTTTGTTTTGTCGCTGTTTGAAGACTTTTTACGGTGTGTAAATTCGATATATTTTTGGTATTTGTGATTATTTCACCATGCTAATTTGTTGATATACTTGCCTGTGATATTCATAAGTTTTTTTGAAGTTACGTGATTATTTTTTGAAAACAAGATACTGTGTTTTTATCTTTGTGAAATTACAAACATGAAATATGCTGATGCAGACTTCAACACTTCGACCATGTGGTTATTGCAAATAGCTCTTTTTTTATTTAATTCTTTTAAAAATCTGATTTTATAACCAATAGTGCCTCAATCAATAAGAAGAGTAAAACTATTTTTTATTTGTTATCGATGAAAATATTGTACCTGATGTCAGTGTTCCATATTTGGGTACCTATCCCATATTAGGTACCATTTATGTGCGTTTAATATTAGTTCAATATTGAACATTGTTCGGGAACGTTACGAATACAAAACTGCTCTTAAATTGTGTGTAAATAGAACGTTTTACGATACTTTTGTTACGATTACCAAAGTTCACAAAAATCGTGATCTTACTGTTGGAAAACGCCGGCGACCGTTACGTCCACGAGACAGCAAATGGTAATCATCTGTAAAAACAGTTAATTCCAGAATAATAAATTATTAACAAATACGGTAAAATTGATAATTATTAGTTCTGACTTCAACTTTTAATTAAACATATAATAAAATCTATTAGTGACTATAGATTTTTATCGACTGATTTATAGAAAATGGAACCAAACAGAGATACATTAAATTGTTGTCGCCAATTTCTGGCAAAAATCGATTTTTCTAATGACAGAAAAATAAACCAAAATCAGCCATTACTTCTGCAATAATATTTCTCGATATAATTAATGAAAGGATAAATGTATAGTAAACATTCTTAATATGTATTTCTCAACGATCTATCGCGCATGCGTGCACCAGATTAGCGTTGCACAATGCGCGAGCTCGCGCAGCCTAAGGTGTGCCAGGTATAAATTCTTAACTAACACACGTGTACGCGGAAACGATCAACGGTTCTCGAACATACGCAGTGGTTTTTGCAATAATCCTGTTACTTTTAATTATATTTATTTTTAATCATTTATAGGAACTAGAAAATCTTTCATTTAGTCATTTTGAAGTTTCCCACGTCTTTTTGTTTATTGATTATTCGTGTAAATAATATTTATTATTAACAATAACGATTATAATTATTGTTATATTCTTGATTGCCTGAGATTTAGTATTAATCTTACTAATTATTATTCTTCTCATTATTTACTAATATATTACGTTGTTATTATTACTATTTATATACTGACTGAACGTAATTTAGTAATACTATTAATTATTATGTATCGGAAATATTGTTGTTATTAATATAGATCTATTGTAATATTATTATTAATGGAACAATCATCCTAATTAATAATATTACTGCATTGATTAAGTAAATCCACAAGTAGTTTACTGTCATTAATATAACAATAGTCGATGTCTTTTTAAAATTCAGAAACAGCTGTTTCTAAATATTCAACTCATATTTTGTAAATATTAATGTAACATTTTTTCAATATTTATCTCATATTTTCTGAATATTTATTCCACATTATCCGAGTGTATACTTTACATTTATTAAATCTTTCTTTCATATTGTATGAATATTTAGTTGATTTTTTTTCATATTAAAAAGTGTAGCTTTGAAAATATTTGTTCAATATTTGCAAAAAATATTTAAGCAATGTTTTGTGGTACTAGGGAGAATGGATGATTTACTTAATGTTTCATTCGATTGGATGTTCCATTTACTGTAGGTACTTTCACACGTTTCGAAATTATTAATATTAATAGACATCGATATTTCAACACAGGCTTGAAATCCACATGTATGTCACATAGTAAATTACTAGAAAATGTAGATTTAACATTAAAAATACGTAAAACCCGTGAAAAAGACCATTCAAATTAAGGATTTCGTAAAAAATGAAGTCGCCCAATTCGACTTCCTCTAATTGTCCCCATAATCATAATATCATATAATTATCATTTTTACTAGGCTAACGACACCAACCTTGTTAACGAAACGTTTGAAACACGTTGACCCCATGTTGCGACAGGTATCGAAGCCGCAATTGGTTCAAGAGGATCCTTCAGCGTCCCTTTCGATCTGCCATTTACCGGTGACGATTGCTCAGAAACAATCACATTTTCCCATATTTTTTTTTTCGAAAGAAAAACGATTTGTCGAGTTGTTTATAGAGTTTTAGTGCTTTTCGTCGCGATAATTATACATCAGGACACTTTTTGAAGGTAGGATTCTAGCAAAATTTTCAGAACACGACACTTTCACGGCTGTCCTCTGAAGAATAGGACATCAGCATCCAGCTCATCTTTATATACGACTTATACAGGGTGCGTTGATAAACGTTTGAATTAATATAAGTTTACAATGTGGGTCGTGGTAATATTTATTATCAAGCAAATTCCCATTTTAATATATTTAAAACATTTCCAAAATTCTCAAAGAGAATTCTATGTAAAATATTGACACTGACAATTATTAAGTTACTCGTCCAAAAATTGTTGTTTTTCATACGAATATATTGTCATTAATTGTGTATTATTTATTGCATTGAACAAATGTATATTGTTCCATTGAATGCAACAATCAAGTCACTTTCGTTTTCGGCCACCCGTTATAGTAACAGTACGTTCACTTACATTTTTTGGACTCAACTTGGCATAGGGGATGCGCAACGTGCAGTCGTGGGAACGTCATCGCCTGCTGAAACTGCTTCACTTTACTACTATATCCTAGAACCTTAACAAATATCTTTTTTTGAACAATAATTCTAATTTTGAAAAAATCTGTAACCCATGTCACGATTAATACGGATTATTATACAATACCCTTTTTTATTAATTTACAAAAACTGGAATCAAAGAAACATTTATTTGTTTTGTTGAAGTTTCACATGATATAAAAATCTTATTAAATTTTATTACACACGATTCGCTTTGGATAGTTACTGATTGATTTCTGGATAATCGTGCAAACATTAAAAATATAACATATTGTTTTAATTATCGATAAACTGTAGGAAAATCCATAGTTTAATTATTCCTCTATTTATTTGCTTTTAAATCTGATCAGAAAATGAATCATTGGAGATTGTCATTACATTCCCAATGATAACTGTTCATTGTAAAATTACATTATAAATATTTTCGATACATGTTTAACATTGAATAGTTTTTGGTTTTTCAGAAAGAATAAAATGTCAACGACAATTTAGTATATTTTAAAAGATTTATAATTATTTTCTGAATAATTGTTCACATATATTGTATACTTAATTATATGTACAAATACGTAAATTACACTACAAATGCAAGTAATTTCAATAAATTGGAAAATAATTTATTAAAGAAATTATTTGTTTACGATATCCCTAATTCTGTAAATACTTTCAACAAAATTCCACTTCAATTTTTATTGCCGTGTGAATGATATAAACATACCAGACAGAAGGCACTATTAGAGTGAAATGTGTAAGGCCTGAAACTCTGTTCGCTTTGTTTCCATTGCGTAATAGCTGTTTAAAGAAGAATTCGAGAATCTAAACGCCGTTACGTAATCCACGCAGACTATTATCCGCGGCACTTCCGCGATTTTCGCAACAAATTTAACAATAAAACTACATTACACTGTGTTATAATTTATATTCACTCGTCAAACAAAAAGAAAAAATTCGAAATGTTCAATGGAAAATAAAAAATAGTTTTCTTATTATTTACAAATAATTTATTATGTACAAAACACCCCACAAGGGAAAAACTAGTTTACAATTCAATTCATTTAATCAAACATTTTCGTTTCTCTTCAGGAAATTAGTAGTTAGTGGAATAGTATGTACTTTAAAGTACAGAGAAGATCACATAAATTTCCACAATGTATTTATTTCAATGAGCTCAGAATATTCGCTGAGAACATCTGAATCGAAATTGTGCATTAATGGTTGGCAGATGTTATGTTTTTATTTGATATTTTTATAAAAATGTGGTGGGACAACTCCTCTGGCGCTATCTACGGTGAAACTCTCAAGCTATTAGTCAGTTAGTACTACATTCTGGACACTAGATGACGCTATAAGACGCTGCGAATTCTTAAGAAATTTCTCCTTGACGGTAAAATAATCACAAAACTGAATAACAATTGAACTTATATTTATTTAACCTACTATACATGCGTTTTGTGAATATTATTCTGCTAATTTTCGTGTAGCTTCAATTTCCTCCTCCGTGACCGTTGGTGTCACACCGCACTCGCTCTCTTCCTTTAAGATAAACTCTAACAGTTCAGCTTTTTCACGGTAAAACTCCTTTTTCTGGACTTTCAACTCATCCTGGTACGCATTCCGCTTGTTTTGAATGATATTGTTGCAATATTCTTCTGTCAATCTAGTGATTGATTCTCTCCTCGATACCATACCCGGTACCCTGTTAACATTCCAAACATAAACAATCTCCTAAGTCAATTATCATCGAGTGAACAGTGACTGTGAAATAGTTTTTTTTTATGCAGAAAAGATAATATACTCTGGCTGTGGTTTGTAAACAAGATTCAGACGTTCAAGGATCCATTCGAATCGCCTGTAATCCCATTTACGCAGATATTTAAGGTACATGTTCCTTCTGTCAACCAACTCCTTTATAAATACTTTTCCTTTCTTATCCCTTGGATTCCTTTCAAAATGTTTGAAGACGTACTGTATTTCACTTGTCATTGCAGCAACTGTAATAATGTATATTCTAATGTAATCATTCTTGAAAAGTAAATTTATTTGAAAAACAATAGATTTAACAAATGTGTAATGACAATGTAGTTACTGTGAGATTCTGAAGAACCCCGATCAGAAGCATGCCTCTTTACTAGTCCCATTGTCTTCTCTCTCAGCACATTTCTAGTCTCTCTTGCTGGTTGAAACTCCAAGGAAAATATCTTTTTGACTATATCGCTCGCACTACAGCACACAAATTATTACTGAATCATTTACGTAAAAATATGAATTTCTATACACACCCGCAGTCTGATAATATGCAAACATATATATAAAATGTTGTTATGTTATATTACTTGACACCAATAACGCTTTCTGAAACTAACCCTTCCCATTCTTTCGAATTTTCATAATAAAATCGTGTTTCGAACGGTTTTACAGATACAGGCACTCCATCACGATCGCCACTTTTAAGAGGATGATACTCAGGCACCCTTTTTGGTCGTTTCCAATAAATTTTATAATTTTCAACTGTTTTTGCACCGCGACTCACGCAACCACCGAACTTGTAAATATTATTTATTTGTGTACAACCTAACCTACATGTGGTTGCCAAATTCATTCTGATTAGGAAATATACAGTACAAGACTAAACTAAACAGAATTTATATTAAAATATCAGTCAAACACTCTTATGCGAAATAACGGCAACTGAATACTACAAATGCTAAACACTACAATTGTTTGCTGTTAAACAGGTATCGAACTTAAAGGGGTTACTCAGTAACCGTTACTGGTTACTGGCAGTAACTTACTGCTGTCTCTACTCTCTCCGTCGGTGCCGACGCGTGCCGAACGGTGCCGGAGATGGCCGGAGAGGTCGAACGGGAGTGAGCGAGAGCGGTAGAGCGAGCCGCGGTATCGGTGCTCTCCGTCGGTCCAACGTGCTAGTGCCGTGCACACAGTTTATTCATTGTATCTGATCCACATTTTTATTCTGTGAAGTTACCGACGTTACCGACCGATACCGGATTTGTGAACGCGTCTTGAGGATTTTGGGTAGTGTGTAGCACTGATAGCAGAGGACGATCCATCGCCATTTAAGAAATAGGGGCGAACGTATTGTTCGCCGGTGTGAGACTCAGGACAATTCAGGAAAGTTACTGACTGAAAATGTTCTCGCGACAGGTTAGGAGATTTGTGACCAGCGCTGTTAGAAGAAGCGGGGATCAACCTGAGGGTTATCCTGGTGCTGTAAGTAGAACCAATATAATTTGGTTGCGTAATTGTATCCCAACGTCTCATTATTTGTACGTTCAAATTTAAAGACCCTTCATGGAAGCATAACATTCAAACGTAGATAAAAATGTATGAAAGCCTAATTTTATTATGCATAAAACTTCTAATTTGAAGGAGATCAGGGTAAAGGCCTAATATTCATTTTTGCAGAATCTACCTTTCAGCATCAAAAACAGATACGCGTTGACTGCTAAGTTCATTATATTCTTTGGAAGTGGATTTGCTATACCATACCTGATTGTCCGTCACCAGTTGTTGAAGTGAATTGTGTGAGTCTCCATGATCTATTCCTAACTGTTGTATACATTAAGTTGGACTTCTCGTTTATGAGAAAATTGTTTGAAAATTCTTTCATTTTAGGTATTCCGGTATTAACTTTAGTATAGCCCAATAATGATTATTGTCAGGAACACTGTAAAGTATTTGTAAGAAAAGGATATTAAACTACTATGGTTCAATAAAAATCTGTGTTTGCGTTATTAATTCCAGAAATCTGTTAGTCACTGAGGAATCTGAGCTATATTGGTGTGTAAAGAAGAGAAGTAATTTCTAAATGGAGAAATTTAAATTATGTTCTTTGGTCAGATTATTTACTGCTGTAAAAATGTTTGGTTATTTTCTTGGATATGTAATGAAGTGGTTAAGGCCACTCGTGTCGTCATCTGCGGCGAAATGCTGAAGCCACTAGCCAATTGGTATCAGATTTCGACGCTAGATGACGACACAAACTCCTTTAAAAGTTCATATTAAATTGAAGAATTTAAACCTTTATTGATAAACACTGCAATTGATTGTTGTTAATGCATAATGTTAATTTAATAAAGTTCTAGAAATACTCTGATACCACTTAAGAAACATTCTTAAACGCAATTTATCATCATATTTCGACTACGTCTATAAGGTATTCTATTAATGAAAGTATTATACATTACACGTCCTTCGTTTTTGCTCACGGTTTTTCTAGTTGGACAATTGTTCTTTCCATCGGAATATTTCATAAGAATTCGTATTCCCCTCTTTTTATTCTACACAATTTCCATTCAGACACGTGATTTAAATCGTTGCAATAATTAATAACAATATTTTCAAGACCTTCCATCTATTGCAGTTCAAACTTCGTCGGCAACAGCTAGTATTACCCTTACAATAAACAGTTATCCGTCTAGAATCAGTCTAAATATTCCCTATCGACATTCCTAAACGCTTCATCATCGCCGCGATAAATACCATTAGTAATTATAAACGATGATGACCTTTTTCTACACAATCATACTTAAGTCACACACACACGATTACATAAACAATCCAAGAAAAAAAAAAGCTGTCAGTCACTTTTGCCACTGGCCAGTTAAATGCCCAACGTGACCCTCGTGCCGATAATCATCACAGAAATTATTACCAAACTAATTGGGGACGTATTTATCAAAGTGACCCAGAGAACTGCAACTTCGACAACCACACCAAAAGAGTGCACATATTACTGTTGCAATATCCCCATTCATGTTTCACCGGGTCTCGACCGCTAACCTCAAGGGCCATCGTTTTATCAACTACAAAATAGCTGTTATTATCTCGCGGCGGCAAAACACGCCACGCGATCGAGCCAATTCAAGTATAATACGCTATCATACGCAGTCCCATATAGGCGTGTAACCTGTACCGTCCCTCTCCCTCTTTCCCCTTTTGATTCATCGTTGCCCAGGAGGAATCGATCGGTGCACGTTGTCGACTCGCGCGCGGTGTCTGATTCGTTCACGGGCGGGCAACTGAGAATCGGCCTTCAGCGAAAGACCTAGGGGAGACTTGGCCATATATCGTCAACGGTGTCCGTCCTTCCGAGAGGAGAAACACGCAATCAACACACGGGGCGTCGCACGATGAATTGACACACAGTACCGCGCGAAACGCAGCCACTCCACGAGGAGCACGTGCGTTAAGGAACGCGGGCCGCCCTTGCCATTCGTGCGCGCAGCTGTAACCTACCTCGAGGCGTCCACTTCCGGGGAAGAACGGCTCGCCGATTAAGCAAACACCCGGTTCGATTCACGAGACGACCGAATTCACCGATCCTGTAACCACGTTAGACGAACACCCCGCCTAATCATGTATCAGAAACTGGCCCTCGAGCACCGATATCTGACGGATCAACATCTGACCGGTTTCGAGAGCTACAAGGTAAGGTTGCAGAGCTCCAGGGTCCTTTCCAGTTCATCCGAGAACGCATGTCAATTACTCGATTGCCGTGGGTTTCCTTGGGTGATTAATGCGTTCATCCTGTTCGGTTTGTCTGTGAACTGTGTGGAGTGTGTGTGTGAGCCTGCATTGGTAATTGATGTTTCTTTTCAGTCATGTTTTTGTTGGGGTCAATGCTTGCAGGTTTACCGAAAATGGATCGAATTTTGGGGTGTCTAATGTAGGGATAATTGTTGTCTGCAAGATTTTCCTTGTGTTTAGTTTTTTTAATTAAAAGGAAATGGCAATGAGTTGTGGCGAACGTACAGACTTTGGGTTTTTTGTGATGAATGGAATAGATTCAGGTGACAAAGATCTATCTGTAGTTTGTTTGTTCTAATGTTTGTATAAGAGACTATTATCTATCGGTGTACAGATAATGCAGTGAATGAAATGAGACTGATTATATAACGCAATGTTTCTTATTTGCATGCTTAACCTCCTCCTGTGTAATTGATTATGCGAACTGAACAATGGAATCCAATGTTTTACGGCTTATAAATTTGGAATATTTTTTTCAGTATAGCTCCGTGGACACAAGCCCCCTTAGCGTGTATGTGATGCACCCGTTTTGGAACAAAGTCGTTCAGGTATATATGTTGTAATTATAGATGATTACATATACGGTTTCACTAAACATTACAATTTCATTACAGTATTGTCCAAAATGGGTTGCCCCGAATATGTTGACCTTCTCTGGATTCCTCTTCACTGTTTTCAATTTCACAATGTTCGCGAGTTACGATTATTATTTGTTCGCATCCAGTGATGATAAACCTCAGTATCCTCCTATACCAAGATGGGTCTTTGCACTAGGTGCGTTTAATGTCTTCATGGCGTATACCCTTGGTGAGTATCAGTGGGGATTATAATGAGAGAAGACGCTGTACTTTAAAATTCTCTAGAATTGTTTAGTTACGATTTTCTTTTATAGACGGTATAGATGGAAAACAAGCAAGGCGGACACAGACTTCTGGTCCCTTAGGAGAATTGTTCGACCATGGGTTGGACAGTTGGACAACAATGCTAATCACTGTTTGTATGTTCTCCGTATTCGGTAGAACGGATCACAGTGTGTCCCCGCTAAGAATGTACTTCATACTATGGAGTGTCTTCATTAATTTCTATTTGACTCACTGGGAAAAGTATAACACTGGCGTACTGTTCCTTCCTTGGGGATACGACTTATCTATGGTAGTGAGTATCTCCCAAATTGTAACGATGCTATTACTTCGATATATTAACAGAAAATTCGTGATACGAAACGTTTCGAACTTCTAGGGCACTATTATAGTATTTACTATATCGAGTATAGGAGGGCACAAAGCCTGGAAATTCTTACTACCAGGAGGTATATCAGTGGGTGTGATGTTTGAGATTGTACTCTATATCACTGCGATAGTGGCAAGTTTGCCTGTGGTCCTATGGAATATATACAAGTTAGTACTTCTCCCAAACTGTCTCGAAATTCTTTCTAAATAATCTTTACTTTAAAAAAAAAAGACGACACGATTTATTTCTAGATCATACAGGGACAAGACAGGTAAAATGAGGACATTCCTAGATGCCATAAGACCTCTGCTACCTTTAGGTGTACTTTTCACAATTTCCACCATTTGGGTAATGCACTCGCCAAGCAATATAGTGGAGAAGGACCCCAGAATCGTCTTTTTGACCATTGGAACAATCTTCTCCAATATATGTGTAAGATACTCATGGACAGACAATTAAATTAAACGTTCGACATCCTGTAACGGATTAAAAGATAATGTTATATTTGTAGTGTCGGTTAATCGTGTCGCAAATGAGCAACACCAGGTGTGAACTGTTTTCTTGGATACTTATACCCGTGGCCGTGGCAGCGGCCTTTTCATTTATCTTGCCTAGCGTCGATCTAATGTTCACGTATATCGTCGCTGTAGCGGCGTTGCTGGCGCACATTCATTATGGCACCTGTGTGGTGAGCTTCTTTTTTCTGTCATAACTTGTTTTCAGTAGTTGTGCTAATGTGTGCGTTAGTTACCAATTCGTACTCATGATTGGTACCTTGGGTATCATTGCCACTTCGTAGCAATGATTGCTACCATTGGTACTATTAATTACCATTCCGTACCAGTGATGGCCACCATTGGTACCATTTATTACCACTACGTATCAATGATTGCTATCACTACTACCATTGGTTACCAATCACTAGTTACAAAAATATAGTGATCCACTATTTTATTACTATATGCCAGTGGTATACTTATTCAAGTGAATCGTGATTTCAGGTACGCCAGATGTGCCGTCACTTCCGTATCCACACGTTCCGTATCAAGGACCGCGCCGACTGACTGCTTGCCGACGATACATGTTAAAAACGAAGAAGGGAACTCTAGAGTCGGAGCCAGCTATGAATCAGCGAGTACAGATCAGACACGGCCAGGAAGTGACCGGATGCGAAATATTGTTAAAAATGGAAAAAGAAAAACTGGAGCCCACGGCTCAAGCGGTTCCCAAGCTGGGTCGAACTCCACCGGAAACATTCGGGGAGGGGAGGGGCGAATGGACGTTCTATAGATCATTCACGCATCCAATCATTGCTGATCACATATCCGAGAAAGAAGTACCTGTTAAGTGATCTTATTTATTCGTTCGCAGAGGCAGATTTGATTTGAATCCTCGCGCCGCTCTCTCTGTGATACACACACGGTAAGCCGCCAGAAATCACGCTTCTTTCGATTGTATTATCGATAGTATTCGATATTTACGGTTAGGAGCATTTATATATACGCATATATATATGTAGAGCGATCGTGAGAAACGCTTGTCTCGTCGATTTCTGTTGTTGGTCGTGTTTTCTGTTCAGTTTCGTAAACTCTGACTGTGTACGATGTTGGGAGTCCTTTGTTCTTCGTTTTAAACGTGTATTGTCCCTCGGGAATTCTGTCTTGTTATGTATGCTTGGCTCGGCTCGGCTCGACTATGCGATCGGATGTTTGTTTCCCGCGTGTGTTAACTATAAATTGGAACTCATGTTTCTTTTGTGTCGAGGCTGACGGTTTCAACGTCGCGATAAACGCCGGTCGAGCATAGGGTAACAAATATTAAATTGCGGATCGATGGAGAGGAGTCGAGTTGGTGGCACGCTTGTAACGTGACACGCCAGCTAGACACCATTTATTTATTTTATGTAAAGGATGCATGTGTATGTTAATATTTTTGTTTTTTTTTCTTTTGCATTTAACGATGACCCGAACGCGCGCATCATATAGCTAAATCCACGGATTTCCATGATATTGGGTCGAGTCATAAATACTTTGCGACATAGACACTGTGAAATTTATCGAGTAGCAAAGATAATAAGAGTATTAGTAACAATTAATTGGGTTTAATAATGATCGATAATTGCGACACATAGACTACATAGGTAATCGTGTAATGTGAAATAGAAAAGCCGAAGTTACTTATGACAAGGCCTGATAGGTAGACAAATAATCTAAAACTGTCAATTCGGGGAGGAATATTGATAGGAATTCGAGTCTGTGACACATGATACCTGTGACGATTACAACCACCAGCAATTCCTATTCAATGAAAAAAAAAGACTACTACTCTATATACATATATATTTTTTTGGAAAGAAAAATTGAATGCGTGATATTGTAAACTCGAAATTACACTGTATACTTCCTAGCTTTTCAACGTGGGATGGACACTGAAACAATCACAGTCAGAATTTGTGTAAAAGTTGTTTGATTTTTCTTTCAAATTTTGGTAATAATGATTCTGAAATTCTTCTTTATATCGTTAGCATATTTCTGTGTTCAAACGCATACTCATCATAACAATAGTAGATCATTTGCAATATGTATGTGGTAACTGATTCAATTATTCGTTAAATTCTTGTGGATTGTATTTTTAGACTGCAAAGCGAATCGAAATTCAGACTATCAAAACATATTTACACACCTGGCAGCTAGCACCTGCGAATGAAATATTAAGCAGTTATTAATAGTTCCCCACGTTGGAAGAGAACAAAGTTGAAATTCTTTTCTGATCCTTCGAGTAAGCTCAGTTTTGAGTTTGTTAATGGTAGCTTAAGTCAACCTAGAATAAATTGCATTCCATTTTTGTTTGCATTAACTCTGCGTCGCAAAGTCTCAAAATAGAAATGCCAATCGAGCTACGTTTCTTTTGGTTTGTCTATTCGAAATACTTTGCTAGTCTATTTTACATTAAGGATTATGAGTAACTGTAACTACGGAAATAAGATGCGTTACGATTTTGTAACAAAAAAAAAAACAAGAAATCAAATTGTTCGTTTCAGACGTTAGTTAGGAAAATAGGACTAACGACATTTTTTGTAAAATTTAGTACTTGTACATAACAAAAAGAAATAGTCACGAGAATGAGAAACCTAAAATGTACGCGTAGCAACGTTGAGTCGCTGAAAATTTCTTTCGACACTCGAAATGTTCATGCAATTAGCACGCAAAAGACCTGTCTAATCTCTATTCTGAACAACATCCCCATGTAATGTAACTCTTTAGACATTTAATTCTGTTGCCAATGTAACTACGCATCGACTTATTATTATTTTTATAGATGGTAAATGTAATCACACCTATTCTCCAAACGTTTGTTTCTGCCAAAGATATTAAAAAGATTTTAAGTAAATTATGCTCTCTTCCTGTCAAATTCCTATTTATAACAGTTTCTGAAAATGTAGTCAACACAGATTTGCATTCTAATGTCAATGAGAGAGTTTAATAGACAAACTTACATTACACCAATTCCCCATGGAACGTGAATTCTTAACTCTACAGCGGTTTTAAAAAAAATTAATGCTACTTTTTACTCTTAAAATAGGCTGCCTTTAATTTTTCTCGTTCCTCTGGCAAAGGAAGTATTGGATCAATACCGCGCTTTTTACGATCATTCATTACCTTCGCCTGAAATATTGACAAATATTATATTTCTTCATCGATTCTAGGAACGGCGTGAATTAATATAAACTCACTAAAAATTTACCCAAAACGTTTTGCAGATCCTATAATTGACAAAATATACTTCGCATTTCTTTTTGTCATAGTTATTATTGTCAAGACATTTTAAAGCCTGTCCATGTTCCTAGATAGAGATCGTGCATAAATATTAATTAAAATTGCCGGGGAAAGAACGTATTTCACTTAAACATTTGAGGTTAGGTAATCGGCAACTGAAAGGAAACTAACCTAAAAAGTCATTAAGTCACAGTACCTTTAAACAGGGATTGTTTAATTCTTGATCGTGACGGAGTTTCTTTACCATGGGATTCTTCGACTGTTCGGCATCACGAGGAGTCGGTGTATGCATTATTTTTCGGTTTATCTGTATGAACTTTACGAACGTCTAACCTACAAAACGATGACACCAGCCGCGGTGTCACGTGGGGTGGAAACCAATCAAGTGTATTCTGCTGAGTATGTAAACTTCTATGTATTTACATTTGGATTAATAAAAAAATTCGTTTTTTTCTCTATCTAAATGTATCGTATGCAATAATGAAAATTTTTATACAGTATTTCCTATCTATAGTCACTTCTTTCGGGACTGAAATCACGGTTATACAAAGAAGTGATTGTAATATTGTCCATTTACTGTCAAATGATGTCCAAATGGCGATTATAGGCAGGAAATACTCCATGTATAATATATACATATTTCGTTGATCATGTATTTACAATATCGTTACAAAAAAAAAAATGAATTCTGCGACGGGTACAATTTTACAATGTGAAATATCCTCAGTGATACTGACCGTAGATAATTTGAAAAATACTCTAGCCATGGAAGTATCTAAGTGTGGGTCTCCTATAAACGATTTATACTACACTGTTTCGCGCCTGAAAGGTATTAATAATGAAGTATTTAAATTATCTCGAGCTCACGACACCACCGTTATACTCGGAATTATCTTTTCATCGTTCCGGAAATAAGTGTACAATTCGGGACACGTATTTACAATGTGGACAAATAGTAAACAATCTGACCCTTGCGTGATTCAAGGGGGGCTCCCTTCGAACAACGAGAGCATACTTAATATCATAACGCGTATTTTACAGATTAATAAATAATCCAGCTGCGCGGGTAAAGTAACGTGAACAAGTAAGTAAATGCCAGTGTGTACCGTTCTGTGCGCGGATAATGCGACAATCATTTCTACAGACGAACATCCCCGGTCGACGATTCATTACGTCCTATTTCGTCCGATTAAAAATAGTAAATAGGTGTGACATATCGTAACAATGTTAAACTGCAGGTACAGGAACACTATACTGGCTGAAGTACAGTGCACTATCATTCTTACACGGTTACATCTGGAAAATACAATTCTTGAATGATTTAACGAATCGTGCAATTCCGTGTATTCTCGAATACTCAAAACTCAAGACTATCTTGAGTTACCTGTTCTTCAATGAACACCATTTCGGTTGTGTCTAGTCCCATCCGCTTTAAGTGTTCTCAAAATTCTGTTGCACCTTTTGCCATTTAGCCACCATGCTCGAGACTTCTTTGTGTTTCTTGCTGATACCAACTCTCGCCTGAAATGCCACATTTCCAGCTAACCCGTCACTACTTTCCTAACTCTATGCTTTTATTTTATTAAAACATTACCTTTTTCTTCTTCTTTTCCTTCAAGGTAGCCTCAACAGGTAGGGTTTCCAGTTCCATGTCCACTTTTGTTTCCTCCACTGGTAAAGCTGCTGCCTCCGCCACTGATGTGTCTGGCCTCTGGGGTACTATTTCAGTCCTGCTGTTCTCTATACGAGCAATGTCACTGTAAAACGAGTCCAGAGCGGACACTAGGGACTCCTTCGCGGTTTTCATCGGCGGCTTCTCGATCACTTTATGGTTTGTGTATATGGGCGTGTAATCGGGTATCAGTTGGATCGCTGGCTGTACACCGTGTTTGTGTGGAAGTACCAAGGCTGCTGGCTGCTCAAAAGATACCAAACATAACCTAATTAACTTGAAAACCTATCCTCTACAACGATGCCTGAGTCAACCACGATTTACAGGATCATAACTCGTAAGCTTGTAGACAGCCCTTTGACATTATTATACAAGTCTGATAAATAAAATTACGGGTCTAACCTGACCCAGGCATCGTCATATGATGCCAGGGGTGAACGAACGTTCCCAAAGTGGAAACTCACTGAATGAAGGTGTTGATACGCTGGGTACTGAAGGTAATGTTCTTGTACAATGGCTGCTGGATGACTTAGGATAGGAACTGTCGGATCCCTCGCGGTTGCGTCGTACAGCGCACCGCCCTGCGGCTGCACAGCACCGTAGATGATCCTTTTCAACGCTGTTGCGGGCAGTTCGTAAGGCGCCTCTGTTAAATCCACACCTGGTGGCAGGGGTTCGACGTTCGAGACATTGGTGACACTAGCCACGCCGGCTATGCTCGCGAGAGTGGTCGTCTGGGGCGACAGCGAGACTGCAGAGTGAGAAGCTATGGAATGATTCTCCAGGTTGTTCACCTCTGCGATCACTGTACCGTCTATAAAGAATACATAGTAAGATGTACAGTAAATCATCGATTAGTGTTCGAAGGTTCAATTGAGTGTTCAGACGTCATCCAGCTTGACTAGTTTCCACGGGAATTCTCAGTGGTAGGGATGAGTTCTGAACATTTAGTGAAGCTTTGGAATACTGGAGGATTTACTGTATTTGTAATTCTTGTAAGAAACTTATTAAGTATTCACCTTCTAGCCGTTGTTTTTTACTGTCTGCGGCATCACAGCCCTTGTCCCGTTTCCTTTTATCCTTCTTCATGTCGTTCGCGTATAATCTGGGCGGTGGAGGTGGGCTGGGGTTCGAGATCTGTGGTGGAGGAGGCGCTTCTCCGTCAGAGTTCCTTGGGGCTGTCACGTCTTCGGGATCGCCGACCTCCTGGAGCTTTTTTGGCTTCGGTTTCAGTCCATCCTCTTCTGTTGCTGGAAGGATGCGTGAAAAATGTTACTATTTGCAAAGGAAGCTTCTTAAGTGTCATTGGTGCTAATTGTCCTTGGATTGCAATGTCTGGGTCCATTTTGCCTCGAGTCCTCGAATGCTCCACCCAACTGGACTTACTTATAACGACCCATTTAAGCTAGAGTCAAAATATACTCAGGCATCGTCCTTATAGGAACATTGAAAACACGTCCACCTTGTGAGCGGTTATTCCTGCTCCATCGGTGGAGGGGTCGAGCAAATCTCCATTTCCTCCGCGCCACCGGCGATGCCAGTGTCCGGATAGGTCCATTGCGTTACTCCTGTGGCAGTGTTCTGGTAATAATACCGTTTATGCGACCTGGAAAAAAGCCCACCGGGTAATGTAGAACGGCCGAGACATGGGACGGATTTAATTGCATGGTGTTTACATCGACAGAGACAAACTTTCGAGGGACGTTGGTCCGTGAAAGGGACGTCCCAGCGAGTTTCTTTCTTTTTCTATTATTTTTTTTTTTCTAAAGCGACTTACTTGCTAGGAAGAGAACAAAATAATCAGTTGATACTCCTACCTGCGACTCGGCGTGCCGTATACTCAGCGAGACCCCTTTTATTACAAAAGGATTAAGTGTTACTTAGCGGTTACATAGCAGGCGCTCTCTTCCGCAACACGAGCACCGCGAGTTTAACGGTCGACAACACGGTCTGCGGTTACGCTAGCGAAATTAAGCGGATTGATTATGAATTTGTTCTAGGGGGATCATGCGAGTCGGGATGATTTTCTTTTTTTTTTTCTTTGGTTCTTTATCCTTTCGAAGACACGACGAGCACTCGGAGGAACCGTTGCAATGTTCATGGTCGTGAATGGGTTTTATATGAATTGCTCTAGATGACGGTAGAAGCGAGGATACATGGACACGTCGTTGATAAAAATGATACATTGGACGGTGGAGTTTAGTGAGGTATTTACAGTGAGAAAAAAAAAAAAAAAAAAAAAAGGTGTCTCCCATGTGAGTGTTACTTTCAGCTTCGAGCGACTGCAGTGTCCGGAACTGATTCCTTTCTTGGTCTTCGAGTAGCTTCACTGAAGCATTCGATAAGGTTAGGTCGATGTTTTTTAAATAATTGATCCTTTTCCCAATGAATTCGTCTGGTATGATCTTTTTTCAGGCTCTCTGGTTACTGGGTCTTGAGCAGTGTCTTGGTAGACATGTACGTCTCTGACATTCCTCCGTTTAAATATCTGGACCTCTGCTATATTGTTTTATTTATATGATTTATTATAGTTCTTGTTTCTTCATATGGGGTCCTGAAGGAAGTGTTTGGCTGCATCCTCTTTTTACCTCAATTGAGAAGTCTTCGTAACCTTAATTACTTGAAATTCTTCTTGAGTCGTCTATATGCTCTTCATACACAGTTCAGTGTACACCGTGGTGCACGTAATTTCTCTGAAGATCCATTCTGAACACTATCTACATTACTGCGGTAATTGAATTTTTTTGTTTGTTTGAAATAAATAACGCGGCATTTCTTTGTACATATTCTTCATAACATGAACAGAATTTCTATTTCATTTAATGCAAAGCTACGAACTTGAGAAACGGAATTTCATAAATTACTCTGAAATTGATAAAATTGCATTGATTAAGCCCTAACAAAGTAGTACGACCCGCTCAACTCGTTTGAAAGTTACAAAATTCTTACGGCTTGTTACAACGAAGCGAGCAATTCGAGAATCGATTTTTGTATCAGAAGTCGAGAAATGGATTGACTAGAAAAGAGCCAAGTGTAACATTTATGGACACCAGTCTGCGATACTGACTGAAGGCTCATTAGAACAGTGATGTGTATAACATACCACGATGTTTTGTATGGAACGAGTCATGTTTATTTGTACGAGGTAATACACAAATTTTAGATCGTATACTATACCTATCCCACTGACAAAGCCATCCAGGCGGCGCAGCGTCTTGTTCCAAGCGTTCTAGTTCGTGACTGGTGTCAGTTAACCACCTACGCAAGTAACTCTTTTCTAAGTAACCTCCTTCCCACGCGACAAACAATGTCTATAACACCATAAAAAATATTCATCATTAATAGGAAATATTGATAGATATAAAAAAAAAATGCCTCACCTGTAACTGTATAGACATCATTTGAACAGGAGAGACAGTTGGTTTACCCTCGGACAGAAACTTCAGTTTCTCAAGTATGATCTGCGACAGTAGAGTAACTTCTGCTTCCTCCTCCTTCGAATCACCAGTGCTCTCGGACGGTGTGACTGCTTCTTCGTCAATGTCTTTTGGCTCCACAGAAAGACTCGGAACATCTTCCCCTTTGTCCTCTGTTATCACATTGCTTTGTTCTTCTTGAGCGACCCTACATCCTTCATCATGATGTTCAACGCTATCGCAAGTGCTGGATTCCTCCTGCTGTGGCTCAGCTTCTGGTTTAGCTACCTCACCAGCGTCAGTGATTTTCTTCTTTGCCGATGGAACTGAAAGAATTATTCCTTTTACATGTCCGGTGGCCTCTGGATCTGTTTTAACCCCCTAGAATTTTTAACCTCTAACCCCCTACTGCCATATTGGAGTTACTCCAATTCGATGATAGATTAAAACAATGCAGCCTTACCATCAAAAGCAATACGCTTTTTTCTTTGAAAGAATTTGCTCCGACCATGCAGATTATCCAAAAATTTGTTCGCCCTCTGTCCATCATCCTCCGATTTTGAAATTGATTCTTCTCCACTTTCAGCTTTCTCCAAAATAACTTCGCTGTCCAACTCTGGAACGTTTCTCCTTTCGATATTCACGTCGCTGTCACTGGTGTCTGGTACACAGTGCACTTTCGAACTTAAACTTTCCATCGTGTCCTCGGTTTGTGGAATCGGAAACAGAGCCTTTCGCTCCTGCTTGACTTCAGGTTCGTCCTCGACATCGGAGTCCTCGTCGTAACCAGGCACCAGGGACACACGAAAATCCAAATCGGAACTGAGGTTACTTTTACTATTTTCGTTCATCACTATTAACTTGGATTCGTTTACTGTTCGACTATCACTGCAGAGTCTGTCGGAGGATTCCTCGGATTCTTGCAGTCTGACTTGGCTTTTTAAATATTTCACTTCTTTCTCTTCGGACGGCTTTGGGTCCAATAGCGTTTCTGCCTTTGGATTCTCCATAGAGTCCTTGGAGTCTTGATCTAAATTCTGCGATGTCTTTAACATTTGCGAGTGCCTCGTGGGTATCGATGAAGGGAATCCTTCAGTCTTCGACTTGTTCGTCGAATTTGGATTTGTTGATTCAGCTGCAGACACAGCAGGTGCCTCATTTTTCGAATGACTCTCGTCTGCTGTGTCCGAATCACTTTCTTCGGATCCATACGATGTGATCATTTCAATTTTTCTGTAACATTAATGTTTTTACACGTGTTAACAAGACTACTGCTGTGTTACTGAAAGAAACAGTAGAGTTTTGGTGTTGCTTACCCATCGTCGGACTCGTTATCCATTGTGTCCGACATACTGGTGACGTCTTGGTCAACTGGAGGCTCTTGTTTCTTAGCAGTCTCATTGGTAATGTTATACCTATTACGATTACGAGCCACCACTTCTCTTGGTATCATACCTTCGGGTATATTTTCATGAGATTGATCTAAAAAATTTTTCTTCGATTTGCCGGGCAGTTTAAACGGACTCGAAACGGAAGAAAGACTTCTGTCAGACGTATAGTTACATCCAGCAGATGAGAAATCAACCCAATGGGGATCTTGTATCGAATGTGGATTCACAACAGAGCTTGGTTTCATGTTATTTTTCATATACCGTAATTCTTCCGGCATCTCCCATGTTACCTGATTGGTCTCTATGTGCCAATAGTACGGGTAACCGGAAGATTCGTCTATGCACTCTCGCCACACTACCAAAACATAACGAATACATTACATTTAGCAAAGGTTTATCGTTACAATTCTAATGATATTACTTACTTGATTCTTGTTGATTGACATGATGTGGCAATTGTGTATTAGAATTTGCAGTTAAGGCAGAATTATTGAATTCATTCGACATGAGCTGTTTGGGGGCAATTAGCTGAATTTCCTGCAAGTTGTCATTCAGAGTATATTATTCACATACCTAATATAAATTTTAAATAGATTGACGACTATATGAAAAAATTCACTTGCCTTCAGGAAATTATTGACTTGATCGTCTAATTTACGAACATCCTTCTTAGTATCTTCTGTGTCACTATCCGAATTGTAGTGGCACAGTAAATTTGCCAGGGAATTCGCAGGTACATTTTGTCCAGGATAATCGTTAGTTGGTTGCTTTCGTTTATCTAAATATACGGATGTTTTATTCCAAAATTTTTGACACAATAATTTTGTTTATTATTAGAGTAGAAAAGTAACATTGACAATTTACTTTGTACATGTCCTCCATGTGAACCAGCTTGCATTTCATTGAGTTCTAAGACAGGTCTTCTTTGACGCCGCTTCATAATAAAACATAAGTTAAGTTGTGTATGCCAGACACAGTAAGTATGCCTAAAAAGAAAAATATTTTGACATTGTTATCATAGAAAGCCACATAATTCTATGAAGCAGATATAAGTAACGCTTCAGATAAGAATACAGATAAAATTAGAATATATATTAATATTAATTATGTATGAAACTTACTCATAACCTTCGTATGTTATGAAGTGGCCAGTTCGGTAAGATTCAATACCGAGTGCACGATAAAAAAATAGAAGAGCAACACGATCACTCGACGACTGTTACAAAACGTACAAAAATACACTTTTATACACTTGTTGTATTGTCTAAAATATTTCTAAACACTTTGCGTATACAAATTTAAGGTTATAGAACACTTCATCAAAGAATCATGTTGCCAATCGCAAATCCATCCACGACACCGAATACGTTCCCACTGACTGACTGGCGAATCCGCGCGATTTTCCGACCGACAAATTACCCCCTAAAGGGGATACTGTGAACTAAGAAAATCCAATATCCGGGGGTGAAACTTTGAACCAGGAACCCGCGAAATTTGAATCTTGATTACGTCGATTCGAATATGGATTTATAAAACATAGTTGAACATTTTTTTCAACCAACAAATTCCCAAAATTGAATGGTGATTTTTCATTGTTTTATCCCATAACTCTTAAATAAATAGGAAAAAAAGAATTTACGGTGTGAAGGGACACGATCACAAGGCGACTACTTATAACATATTTATTTATAATGTTTTTAGTAATATACTCCTTACCGTAGACATATATTTATATCATATGGCAGCATAGTACTATGACATTGTATATTATAGGTGAGGTGACAGAACGATTCATATTTTTTTTAATTCTCTCTGTTCTCACTCTCATCCACACGCATCGTCCACACGTTCACGCGCCCCCCATTCGCACGGTTCGAGCTTCAATTACGTCGTCGCGTCTAGGAATTTTTTTCTCTCTCATGGATTAAATGTCAGCCTGTTTTTGCACGGTCCATGGATCGCGGAATCGATCGAGGCCGGAACACACACTGTATTTCGACACGAATTTTTCTTTCACGTGTCTATCGTGGCAACGAACTTTCACGTCGAATCTTTTTTTTTCTGTTAATTAGCAATCTGGCCGACGGCGCGTCGTGATGCGCGCGGGCGCACGTGCATCGACAGTCGATGATCACGCAAAATTTGCTTTTTTTTTGTTATCTACATATACGCAGCCCTGCCTACTATGCTCGTGTTAACATTGTCTCATACTTACTCGGCTAGTTAAAATATCAATATACATTATAATATACTCTATGTAACGATAATGCAACATTTTAGTTAATTTATTATACTTTGCAACTTAGAAAAATATTCCATGGCTAGGCGTGGCCGCGTCCCGTGGGAGCTCGCGATTATTCCGTTTTTTTTTCTTTTTCGAATTTCGCGGGGAACTTCTTTTCCACCGTTGCCGATTTCGTTCCGCCGATCGGTCGATAAGAGAGCTGTGGTATCGGTCGATTTTTCTCTCTTGGGACTTTTTTTTGGGTTACTGTATGTATGGGGTTATGTATCGAATACTGATCAATTTCAAATAAATCTAACAAAGATTTCTGAGCTCGCAGAAAATCATCGAGATCGATTCTAATTGACTGGGTTTCCCCGTTGCAGATTCGTAGTCTACTCAAGAGCAATTTTTCGTTAGTATGACTGTCGTTCGATTCTTGAAATTGGATAAAATTTAATGTTGGTACACATGGACATTTGGTTACTTTTTCGTTTTCCCATCGATCTTACCAACCCCTTTCGATCGACGGTGTCGCTGGATTCACGAACATAAAAAAAAAAAACAGATCAAACCAGGTTGGAATACGAACGCTTAACAAGCTTGCTGGGGAATATATTTCTTTTCGTTTTGTTAATAAGTTCATTGTTTATTTGTTACCTTTCAGCAAGTAAACGAACGTTTATAGCAAGAGCACGCGATGCGGTCACGGCGCAATAAAATCTATGAAAAACAATCAACGGAACAACGGTAGTACTACACCTCTCGGAAATTGTTACGCTCTACTATATCCTACTGTTGATTTTTTTTTTTATAATCGATCGACGAATCACCACTGATCATCGTCGATCGCGTATTGGAATTAGCGTGGACTTAACATCGACTATGTCTGTCGTCGGAAAGCCGGCGACATAGAACCCTACACCACCCCACTCACGGTCTCATACTTCCGCAGAAATTTTATTGATTTGCTATCAAGCATTATCCCGCATGTTGGCTGCGTCAACACACACACGCACACACATACACACACGCGAGATCGATAATAATTTTAACCTCAAAAAAGAACTATTTCCCCATAAATCCACAGAGTGACACTTATAGATACAGTACCCCCCCCCCAAAATGGTGTCTCTGTGTAACACAAATCCATTGTCATACCCCTTTTAGAGTTAAAATATTTCGTTGATTCAGACTCAAGTACCATTTTGATCAGCAGGTGGCATGCCTGCGATTTGTCGAACAAGAAATAAAACTCGACACGTTGACTAGTTCACCCTTATCACTCGATTAGCTGTTTGCTACCCATGTCGGTAGATTCGTGTCCGACTGTTGTTCGTTTGTCGCATCTAGTAACACGGGGAATCCCCTAGTTCCCTTTAAATGATATACACGCAACTCATTTGACCCTGGCAGTTCGTGATTTACTTACTTGGTCATCTAATATGTCGTTACAGTAAATCATAGATGAGTGTTCGAAGGCTTCATTGAGCGTTCAGACGGCCTTCCAATCACTAGTTGCTTGACTGGTTCCACGAGGGATCCTCTCAGTAGTGCCTGGGGACAGAGATGTATCTTCATCTTTATAAAAATCAACCAATCACAATCATGTATGGTGATTTCTACCCATCTAATACTGGGGGGTTTCCCGTGGAACCAGTCGAGCGTTCAGTAGTGGGGATGACGTCTAAACACTTAGTGGCGAGGAGCTTTCGAACACTCATCGTTGATTTACTGTATATCAAATGTCATAACCCAATCAGGTCGTTCCTTAACTTTTTTTTTATACACTTGCCTTGAGTGTACAATAGAAACTCGGCTCAAATGTGCCACGTGTACAGTACTGGTGCCTCAAAGCACATACGAAAAATCGGATAAATCGTTGTAACCGGGTATGTTTGAGTGTAAAGGGTGTGCCCTCTGGTACTTTAGGTCTGGTAATCATGTTTTTTTTCGCAAACAACAGTAAAAACAATATACACGGCCAAGCACGCCGGGGGAACGCCATGCCTTAACAGTATACGTATTCGTTTTATTATAATTATATTATTATTTAGCAATTCGAACGCGCATTCGTTAACCATTCCTAATTCCCCGTTTTCCTTTTATAATTATCGTTACTCGATATTTATAATATTATTGTAATCGTTACTGTTACTTTACCATTAATTATTATTTCGAACGACATAAAAAAGTCAGTCCTTGGAAAGCGGAAATGGTTCCCAATTGGCCGTCGTGCCTGGCGTGCGCACGCGCAGGATTACATGCACGCTCGCGTGGGATTCCCGGGGAATGCAACGCGACGAAAACAGAGTCCTCCCCCCGGCCACTAGCGTTATACAGTGGTGCCAACTTTGTCCCTGTGCTCTCGCGGGATCGTTCGTTGCGGACCTAAAACAAAAAAAGAGCGGACTCGGGGCCAAAACGAATGGCGAGTGACACGCCGAGACAGCGAGTAATTACGAATATTTTTAATTCTAACCTACTAAGAGTCACCGTTAATCGATCTATATTTATAACTTGGGTTGTATTGCAGGAAAAATTCCGTTTTTCTCTTTGGTGTTACGGTCCTACTACATACTTGTATATCATTCGCGTACTGTGATCTCTCTCTTTACACTTTCTTAGGGCGTGTTCGAATTTGGCGACGATTCCTCTCTCCAATTACTTTTTTTTCTTTATTCTTGTCACATTTAACAAACACTGAGTAGAGTAAACACTGTTGAAAAATAATTAATACAGTAAATTATTGATGAGTGTTCGAAGACTCCACTGAGCGTTCAGACGGCATCCCCAGTAATGGGAGCTTGATTGGTTTCACGGGGTCTCCCCCAGTAGTGGAGATGACGTCTGGACTAGAGATTCGATCATGTCGTTCCCAATCACGGTGATTTCTCATGATCGCTTCTGATTGGTGGAGACCACAACAGTTCTTTGCACGTTTCACATAACCTATAAATCTTATATTAACGACATCAAAATGCGAGTTACGTCGTACACAGTAAAGGAATAATGAGGAACAACGGAGACTAATGAATAATTAATAATTATAAATTCTAATCTACATGTTACATAACATATATGACGTATAATTATAGCAAATCATTTTTGTATAATTTCTTTTTTTTTCTATTGATTTTCAAATCATATTGATCATGTTTTTTTTTTAAAGATCAAGAGTTACGATCACAGTGAGCAAATTCACTCAAGATAAACAAATCATGGTCGTGGGTAAAGTTAAATCAACGATCGGGATCGTCATTCCGCGATAACTGTGATAAATCACTTTTACTTATTTTCCATACCATCTCTAGTCTGAACACTCAGTGCTGAGGGGCCTTCGAACACTCATCGAAGATTTACTGTACTACTCGAAGATAGACGAATGGAAGAGTCCTAGGGAACTCGGTCGGATTGTCGGGTTGTAGCGTTTGAATTGAGCGCGATTCTGAAACAATATTGCAACAAGATGGCGGCGTAGGTGGGGGATTACAAGCAATGCCGCCAAATTCGAACGCGTTTTACAATTGACACTGTCACACACACGCACACGAAACACTTATTTGTTAATCTCGTTTCACCTCGTTCCCGGGGTACAGTAGTTCTCTCACACACACTCTCTTTCGTCGATGATTTTTTTTTCTAAGTTGATTTATCCTGGTTCGCGTATAAGCGGTCAATGGGGCGTCACTAGAGTATCCCGGCGCACGCACCGCGACGCGCGTTTACAAATCGTAATAATTATATACCGACACGCTACTATATATATATATATTTTCTTCAATATCTCTCTTTCTCGCATATTCTTTTTTTTTAGTCGTGTTACGCACGTCACACTCCGTCTCTGGATCGTTCAGCAGCTACGGTCGGTGGGGATCCGATCGAGCTCGATTTTTTGGTTAGGTTCGTTAAACGATTCATTCTAAGTCGCGCACCTTTCCTCATTTTACGAATACTGATAGAACATACACAGTCATTCGTCGTTTAATCGCCAGACATATATCCACCCTTCGTAT